AGGGGTCTGCAACCTGTGGCTCTGGAGCCGCATGGGGCTCTTTCATCCCTCTGTTGCAGCTCCCTGTCGCTCAAAATATGTGTCACAACCACCAATGTGTGACATCCGCTGGCACGTGATTTCTTGAGCTTTTTGACCCATTTTTTTGGGGGGGGGGTTTCAAAATATTTGTGTTGCATGCAGAAATAAAACTCTGTAGTAGCAATTCATTGATTTCATAAATGCAACACACAATAGTTTTTTTTTTTATATACATATCATAAAGGTAAAAAAACGATATATGCAGTGTTATCTTCATTTTGGGTTTTGTGGCTCCCGGTGTTTTCTTTTGTGTGGGAAATGGGTCCAAATGGCTCTTTGAGTGTTTAAGGTTGCTGACCCCTGTTCTAAGGGAACTATATAATGAAAGTTTGTCTCCTCCTCTCTTTCTGCACAAACACACACACACACACACCCCAGAGGGAGCCCTGCAATTTATCTAGGCTCCAGCTATTAAGGTAATCTGAAAACATCTCTTGAACTAACATCGGTCTGTCTCAGGATTGCTTGGGGGCATCAGTGCAGGTTTTAGGAAGGTGCGAATGAATCTCACCTTCTTTCTTACAATATGGTGGCTCCCAGAAGCCTTCAGCACAAATATACCCTGGGTGTAAAATATACCCAGAACTGAAAATGCTTCTTGGATGGGAAGCAAAACATCTTCAAGCAAAAACAAAAGCTCAGTTGCCTTTTGAAAAAGCACCTTTGGGACAACTGTGACCTTGGATGACTGAGAATCTCCATAGACCTACCCAATTTATTTTCTTTTTTCTTTTTTTTCATGCCTGCCAATCTCTTTGTCTGCAATTGGCTGCTTTTGGCATGAAAGTAAGAGACTTTTGTTTTTTTCTTTTAAGGGGAAAAACGCCTCCCCGAAGAGTTGTAAAGTTTGAACCAAGTTTTCCCTGTCCAGGTTGCAAGAACTGTGTCCTGTAGACCTTTGGGGGCGGAAGTGTGGTGAAAGGCGATCTGAGGCAAACACTGAAGTTTGTTTCTACCATGACTTGTTCAATTCTCCCATCCTGGGTTTCAGTGGGGATAGTTAGAGGCAACAGATAGTTAGAGAGCCTGGATAGCTCTACAGACTAAGCACTATAATTTAACACCAGCTGTCTGCAATTAAAGTAAGATCCAATCTCGCCAGGCTCAAGGTTGACTCAGCCTTCCATCCTTTCTAAGGTAGGTAAATTGAGGACCCAGTTTGTGGGGGCAATAAGCTGACTTTGTATAAAAATATACAAAAGTATGAAGGCTATTGCTTAATGCACTGTAAGCCACCCTGAGTCTCCGGAGAAGGGCAGCATATAAATCAAATTAAAAAAAAAAAATTGTGCGGCACTAAAAACGGGTACAAGAAGCAGAGAGAGCAAAAAAACAACAACCCCAAAGCAGGGGTGAAATCTACTTACCTTCCTTACCGGTTTGGAAGTGCACGCGCATCACATGTGCGTGCACGCATGCACAGAACGTAAAAAAACATTACTTCCTGGTTAAAACCAGGAAATAATGACACCCTGGCGGCGATCGCTACCGGATTGCCGAACTACAGGGAAAAATTGCTACCGGATCAGCTGATCTGGTCCGATCCGGGAGCATTTCACTCCTGCCCCAAAGGTGTGCTGAAAAAGAGAGGTGCCCTTCTCTACCGATTCATTTAAATCCGTGTTTTTTTCAAAACTTTTAAGATATTTGAACTTCAACTCCCAGAATTCCCCAGCAAGCATCAAAAGAAATGTTTGATATAATCCTAAATTTCGTTGCTCAGTGTCGGAACTGTGTTTCTTTCCACCTTGAAATGTTTTTATTTCCTCTTCCCTCCTCCTGCTTTTTTTCCTGTGGTGTGGTATCTTCCACACCAACTGTGTGGAAACTTTAAGACTGGTGGACTTCAACTCCCTTTGCTGGCTGGGGAATTCTGGGAGTTGAAATCCACCAGGCTTAAAGTTGCCAAGGTTGGAGACCCCTTTTCCAGACTAGCTGTGGGAAGCTTAGCCATTTTTATTTTGTCTGTGTCAGACTGCTCTGTGAATCTCCGGGACTAAAAATAGGGCAAAAATGCTATAAATAAATAAAAACGAGCATAGACTTGCTTGCGGAGCTCATTGTGATTGTCTAGAAATTGTATTGATTTTTTTTTTCTTTTGCTTCGTCGGCCTGATTTTCAAGCAGACATAGGGGACTTCCTTGACAGTGAAGAAGAACTGATTTTAATTTTCCGCCTTTGGCTAAAATAATTTTTAGATGGAAATTTGATCCATCCTGCTTTGAGAATGCGTAAATAAATAAATAAACAGTCGAAAGGTTTGGAAATGTTTAAGCTACTGGCCTAGCGCATGGATTAAAAATTTGCGGAAGGGCAACTCGATCGGTTTCTCCGGCAAAAATTTATCCTTGCAAACATTGGCAAAGCTCTCCTGTATCTTTCTGGTTCTTTAAAAAACTGTATAAAATAATCAGACGCCTCAAGATTTGAAGAAGAGCATGGAGCAAGAACTGGCCTTTGATTTCCATCATGGAAAGTTTGTAATAATTGCTTCGCCCCCCTTCTTTTAACATAAGGGGTGTCAAACTCGATTTCATTGAGGGCCGCATTGTATTTGACCTCGGGGGGTGGGGGCATGGCCAGCTCAATGTCACTCGTGTCGGGGGTGCTTGTGGTGGCCCGAGGGCTCTGCCAGCAAAAACAGGCTCCCGAGCTCCCATTTTTGGCTGCGACGGCCTCCTGCAACCCTCTTGGTCCTCCCGAGCTCCGTTTTCGCTGGCAGAGGCACTGCGAACCAGTCCTTTGCTGTTTCCAGGGTGGCTCTGTGGGCCAGATTTGAAGCCTGCAATTTAATTTTGATTCCTTTTTAATATTTATGAGCAGAAATCTAGCATAAGCAATGCCTCTAAATCAGGTAGTCCTCCATTTACAACCGTCGCCGCAGCGTCCCGAAAATCATATGCTCAAAATTTGGGTGCTTGGCAGCTGGCCTGTACAGTACTTACAATGGTTGCAGTATGCCCTGAGGTTATGTGATTGCCATTTGTAACCTTCCCAGCTGGCTTCTGACCAGTCATATCAATAGGAGAAGCCAGGTTTTTACTTAACGACCGCATGATTCACTTAACAACTGCAGCAATTTGCTTAATAATAGTGGCAAAAGAAAAAGGCCCTGAAATCAGGTGAAATTCACTTTAACAACCGCCTTGCTTTGCAGTGGAAATCCTGGTTCCAATTGTGGTCGTAACTCGAGAACTATACCTGTGCTAAGGGATAGCTTGGTTTAGTTTTCCATTTTAGAATTACGGATGCCTCTCCTTTAATGACTTGTGATATAGCCAGAAGAAAATTAAGGACACCAAAGGAAATGGAGGGGGACTCCCTTTTAAGAAACGTTTGATCCGTTCAGCGGGTTAGGCTGTGTGTTGTCAGTTCCGCTTACACACATTTCACATCACAAAAAGACATCTGTGGTTGATTAGCAGATCTTCGATAAGATGTTATCTGCCATTGATTTACTCTTGGCTTGGACTGAAAGGGTGCATGCCAAGAGAGAGGAGGGGGAGGTGGGAATTGCAGGGTGGGTGGGAGAATTATTTCATATAGAAGACATCACAACATAAAGCAGTTTTGAAAGCAGCTTCTTCGCCTATTACTTTCACAACTGATTTGCTTGGCCGTGGTCCATGAATAATATAAATTGTTGGCGATTGAAAGAAAGGGGATGCAAATATGAATCTCAAATAAATGTTCTTGGTTCATCCCTCGGTGTAGAATTCCGTATGTATGGAGGGTTTTTAAGCTGTCATCTAAACTGGAGTCCGTTCCCTTCCAAATCCATATTCACATCTGATCATCATGTCTGGGAGTAAAGCCATGAAGTCTCCATCAGCTTCAAGAGACCCATTGGCCAAATATTACCCATAAGTGCTCGAAAGTGACAGTACAATCCCTGGATCATCTTCTAAGGCAGTTTTTCCGCAACCACATTTGAAGCTGTGTGGATTTCAATTCCCAGAATTCCCCAGCAAACCTGTCTGGGAATTGGAAGTCCACACATCTTCAAGTCGTCGAAGTAGAGAAACACTGTTCTAAGATGTGGAGACACTGCTGAACTTTCATGGAATCGGTAAAAATCTGGCCAAGTTAAAACAGAAATGCTAGGATTTTTTATTATTTTTTTACAAAAGTGTTTTTAAAACGTTGAAAATTGCTAAAGTACAGTTTGAAAATGGATACGCTCTCAAGATTTCTCACTTCGATCCCTTTTGATTCAAAAGGTTTTGAGAAGTATAAAGTTCATTATAACCGAAGGGGTGAGATGGTCTGTTATTCATGAAAGTCCATTAAATCAGAGTGATTGTAAGCCAACATCATTTACATAATGACATCAATTACACAAATGGCGTTAAGGTTTCTTTCACAGTGACGCTGCTACTAGCCACATCATTTATTATTCTGTATTCTGTTATTCTATCATTAAACAAATGATGTTTATAGATGCAAAAAAAAAAAAAAAAAAAAAACCTACCACCTCAAGAAGTCCTTGACTTATGACCATAACAACCATACCCATTATGGACATATGTCATGATAGTCATAAAGAGATCACCCATGCGACTGACCCGATATTATTGACTTTTTGCAGTGGTCATTAAGCAAACACAACATCTATTAAGCAAACATGACAGCTGTTAAGTGAACTATTGGGTGTTTTTGTCACAAAGTGGAAATAAATGCTGATTTTTAGCAAAAACATCCTAAACCTCCACATGATTGTGGGGGTGAGCTTAGAACTTCAGAATCGGGTCACATGTATCTTCTGGATGGGTCCATCATAACTCTGGTCACTAAGCAGCTGTCATAAGTCAAGGACTTCCTGTATTCAGGCCTGTTAAATTGCTTCAGTCCAAAACGCTGGCCTTTTGTGAGATTAACCTGAGATATTCTCTCTTTTTTTTTTCTCGTCTTCTCCTAGATTCTCAAGTTCTACAGGAACCTGGGGATCTCTCACACTGGTGCGTGGTGGCCTATTGGGAAGAGAAAACCCGTGTGGGGCGCCTGTACTCGGTCCAAGAACCTTCCCTGGATATCTTTTACGATCTACCTCAGGGGAACGGCTTCTGTCTCGGACAGCTCAATTCGGACAATAAAAACCATCTGGTGCAGAAGGTCCGTGCCAAGATCGGTTATGGCATCCAGTTGAGCAAGGAAGTCGACGGCGTATGGCTTTATAACCGCAGCAGTTATCCGATTTTTATCAAGTCGGCCACACTGGACAACCCGGATTCCAGGACGTTGTTGGTTCACAAAGTGTTTCCGGGTTTTTCCATCAAAGCGTTCGATTACGAGAAAGCGTACAGCTTGCAGAGGCCCAACGACCACGAATTCATGCAGCAACCTTGGACGGGTTTCACGGTGCAAATCAGCTTCGTGAAAGGTTGGGGCCAGTGCTACACCAGACAGTTCATCAGCAGTTGTCCGTGCTGGCTGGAGATTATTTTTAATAACCGATGACTCAACCGCAGGCCTTCCCGAGTTTGGCATCTTGAAGTGTGGAGGGGCGGACTTCAACTCCCAGAATTCCCCAGCCAGCAAGAGAACTCTGGGAATTGAAGTCCACCTTTCTTCCAGGGTGTCCAAGCTTGGGAACCGCTGCTTAACCAGTGACATTTTATAATGACTTTGCTGCTAAAACGTTTCCTTTTGAGTGCTTGCTATGGTGTGCAAACGTTTTTTGTTTGTTTGTTCTGTTTTGAGAAATAGCTTATGGGAAGATTTCTTTCTTTCTTTCTTTCTTTCTTTCTTTCTTTCTTTCTTTCTTTCTTTCTTTCTTTCTTTCTCTCTCTCTCTCTCTCTCTCTCTTTTTCTTTCTCCCTCCCTCCTTTTCTCTGTCTTTTTATTTTGGGGTAGGCGGGCAATGTGGAGATACTTTTTTAAAAATGTAGATGACCAACAACCCAGAAGGAGAGAAGACATACGGAGAGGAAGATTGTTGGGAAAGGTTTAATTTGGACGTGGTTACAGAGAGACTCACTCTGATCTCTTTTCAATTGGGATTCAATCACAGTTTACAGGATTTGCAGGTTACCATCTTCACTGTACCTTTTCTTGAATTCAGGCTGTGTTATCTTTCTCGCCTCCCTTTGTCAGGGCTCACACACGCTTCTCCTCTCCCAGGAGAATCCTGTGTTTCCCCCAATAAATACACACCTTCTTTGCACACTTGGGATGTTCTGCTGATTTCAGCAGAGCTTATCAATCCACACTTAGAAGTGCCATAATACACCAAGATCTGGTTTCCTTCAGTGACCATAGATGGAAGGAAGGTCTGGAGTTTTATCTGGCTTGCAAGAGGTTGGTAGGACAGATTCCTGCAAGCTATTACAATTAGTCCTTGACTTACAACCATTCATTCAGTGGCCAATTGCAACGGTACTGGGGGAAAAAGTGATGTGTGTCTATTTTTTCCACACTTAACGTCCGTTGTAGCATTCCCATGGTCACGTGATCAAAATTTGGCCGCTTGGCAACGGGCTCATACTTAACAACGGTTGCAGTGTCCCGGGGTCACGTGATTTCCCCCCTTTTGCAACTTTCTGACAAGCAAAGTCAATGGGGGAGCCCGATTCGCTTAACAACCGTGTTACTAGCTTAGCAGCTGCAGCAATTCACTTTACAACGGTGGTGGAAAAAAATCACCAAATGGGCCCAAGCTCACTGAAAAGCTGCCTTGCTTAACGACAGAACCTTTGGGGCTGAATTGAGGTCGTAAGTCCAAGGACTACCTGTATTTCATTCTTGAAATCAGATTAATGGTTCTGGATCACTCCTGTTCGACAAGATGCCTTCCTTTCCGATAACGTGAAACCCATGGATCTTTCTACCTTGCTTCAGGTCACTCCCATCTATTCTTTGTTGCAAGAGAGATGCAGGGAGGGAGACGAGCGGTTCAAGAAATATGAAATATAAATAAATAAAATGATAAAATAAAGCAAAGCAGCTCCTTGCCGGTATGAGGGTGGCGCATAGCCACTGGCACAATTCGCAAGAGTCACTGTCAACAGGGTGTGAGAAAGTTTCTTCCTTTCCTTCCTCTCTATTATATCTACCTGTAACTTTAATCCTTTTGACTGACCTTGTGGATGGAAAAAAAAAGAAGAAGCTGGGAAAGAAATAGCCATTTTTCTGGGCTTGGCTATCACTTACAATGCCTGTAAACACCCCCCCAAAAATTATTTGGCCTGGGCTTTTCAAATGGATTTGCAAGTCAGACTTCGTACCCCCCTCTTCTCTGTTCAATGGACAAAGCTGAAGTTCAGTATTTACTCCCTGTCCCCTGTTTTGACCAGATTTAAGATAATAACTGTTTGCATCCAGAAACTGCAGTCATTTGGCTAGTATGTTAGTATTTTTTTTTTCTTCGATTCATACACTTAGTATGATAATTTTACACTGTTCTTAGCTCAATGAGCACGTTTAGACCTTAACATAAGCTATTTTTCTAAATGCAAAAGAGGAATAAGTGAAGAAGAAAAGCATCGTCCTTGGAATTTTAGCATTGAAGTGCTTTGGAAAAAAATAAAATAACAACAGACTTCTTTTTAAAAAAACAAAAACAAAAAACCCTGAGATTTATTAAAGAAAAATGTATTTTATGTTATATATAAATATATTATTACTTGTAAATACAAAGACGTTTTATAAGCATCATTATTTATGTATTGTGCAATGTGTATAAACAAGAAAAATAAGAAAAGATGCACTTTGCTTTAATATAAATGCAAATAACAAAATGCCAAATTAAAAAAAAAAAAGATAAAAATTAACAATTGGTGGCCGTTTTCTCTCTTATGGTGTGCTGTTTGTAGCCTGTTGCTTGAAAGGGTAGTGGACTCAGTTTCGTACAAGATGTAAATTGTGACCAAAAAGGGGCACCAGGCTAGGTGATGGCTCTGTGTGTGTGTGTGTGTGTGTGTGTGTGTGTGTGTGTGTGAGTGTGTGTGAGAGAGAGAGAGAGAGAGAGAGAGAGAGAGAGAGAGAGAGAGAAGGTTATCTCCAAGGACTTCAATTTCTCATCAACTTTGGAACTGACATTAATGTTGTAAACCAGGGGTGTTAAACTCAAGGCCGGTGGGCCAAATCCGGCCTGCGGATTTAGATCTGGCCTGTGGGGCTGACCTGCAAACAGCGAAGGACTGGCCCTTGGTGCCTCTGTGAGTGAAAACTCAACTCGGGAGCCCGTTTTCGCTGGCAGAGCGCTCGGGCCGCCACAGGTGCCGCCCCCCCTTTCCTGGGACACAAGTGACGTCAAGCTGGTCACACACACCCCTCCCTCCATCCGAGGTCAAACACAACCTTGATGCAGCCCTCAATGAAATCGACTTTGACACCTGGCCTGACTAGGTGGTTCAGTGGCTAAGACACTGAGTTTGCCGATCCGAAAGGTTGGCGGTTCGGCAGTTCAAATCCCTACTGCAGGTCTCCTGTGTGAGCAGGGGGTTGGACTAGATTACCTCCAAGGTCCCTTCAAACTCTGTTACTGTTACCCCTGTTGTAAACCCTTACACAATGTGAAAAACTTAAGGAAAAGACACAATGCAGGTAGTCCCTGACTCACAACAGTTTGTTTAGTGACCATTCAAAGTTACAATGGCACTGGAAAAAGTAACTTAGATTGTTTTTCACATATTACGACAGTCCCAGCATCCCCAAGAGTCACGTGATCAAAATTCAGACGTTTGGCAACTGGTTCACATTTATGACGGTTGCAGTGTGCCCGGGGTCATATGATCCACCTTTTTTGACCTGACTAGCAAAGTCAATATGGAAGCCAAATTCACTTAACGACCATTTACTAACTTAACAACTACTTAACAGCAGCAAGAAAGATCATAAAATGGGGCAAAACTCAGACAAATGTCTCTCTTATTTATTTATTTATTTATTTATTGGTTCGATTTATATGCCGCCCTTCTCCGGAGACTCAGGGCAGCTTACAATGCGTTAAGCAATAGCCTTCATACTTTTGTATATACCTGCTTAGTAGGGCTTTTGGTCCCCCCAAGCGGTGTTTTTTTTTTATTTTTTATACAAAGTCATCTTATTGCCCCCACAATCCGGGTCCGCATTTTACCTACCTCAGAAGGATGGAAGGCTGAGTCAACCTTGAGCCTGGTGAGATTTGAACTCGCAATAATTGCAGGCAGCTGGTAGCTAAGTGCTACTTTAACAGCGCTTTAGTCTGCTGCACCACCAAGGCTCTTTAGCAATAGAAATGTTGGGCTCAATTGTCAATTGAGGACTTCGTGTATTCAGAAAAAAACTTAATTTTTAAAACTTGTTTTTGTTCTGCACTTTTTCTATTAAAAAAAATGGGAAAAATACTTCCTAATATTTTTGTAAATGAACCAAAAGTCATTGGATGTTGCCCAAGCTGTTTAGTCTGTGCAATTCTTTCTAAAACAACTAAGGTAATAGTCAAAAGATACGTTGATAACGCTATTTTTCAAGGCTGTTTGTCAAAGTTGAAGTCCGGCTTTGAAATGCAAGAATGCCTTTTGTTTTTCCCTCTGGGGTTGACTGACATTTATTTTCAGAAGACAAAAATTCAGCTTCTGGGCTCTTCCTTCCTCTTGTGACTTTTTGAACTCCAGAGGTTACTGCAATCTGTGTCATCCACAAACACAAGGCTGCAAAACCCCAGGATCGTAAAGGTGTATCACACACAATAAAACCTGCTTAAAGGACAACCAAGGTCAGCCAGATGTTAGAGCAGTTGTTTTCCTGTCGTCCGGCTTCTGAAAAGGCTCCAGAGCTGTTCAGGTCCTAATTAAAGGAGTCTTCTAAAAGTTGGTAAGAGCCAGTTTAGTGCAGTGGTTAAAGGCACCAGGTAGTATTTACTACTACTAGTAGTAGTGGAGATTTATTCCTGCCTGAGGCATGAAGCCAATTGGGTTATATGGGGCCAGTCCTTCCCTCTCAGCCCTGGGAAGGAGAAAGTTGATGGCAAACAATTTTTGAATATCTTGCCAAGAAAACTGAAGAGACTTATCCAGACAGTTATCAGTAATAAAAGCCTGATTGGAAAGTGTCAATACAGCTAACTAATACATAGTAATTAAACAGCACAATTTATTTAGAAAATTGGTATGTCACTTCACAAAATTCTGCTCAGCAACAGAAATGTTGGGCTCCGTTGTAGTTGTTAGTCAGGAATTACTTGTGCCATTTGGTTAGATTAGATTAACAGAGTTGGAAGGGACCTGGTAGGTCATCTAGTCCAACCCCCCGCCCAAGCAGGAGACCCTACACCATTTCTGACAGATGGCAGTCCAGTCTCTTCTTGAAAGCCTCCAGTGATGGAGCTCCCAGAACTTCTGAAGGCAACTTCTGTTCCATTGGTTGATTGCTCTCATTGTCAGAAAGTTCCTCCTTATTTCCAGGTTGAATCTCTCTTTGGTCAGTTTCCATCCATTATTCCTTTTCTGGACTTCAGGTGCTTTAGAAAATAGCTTGACCGTCTCCTCTCTGTGGCAGCCCCTGAACTATTGAAACTTGTGTTAACTTGGGTTTAGGGCACTGGGCATGAATCTAACCTCTGAGGTTTTGAAGGTGGCCATAAGATGGGTTCAAAACCCTGAGGATGCCTTGAGATATATTACTGTCAAGGAATGCTGGAAGGAATGGTTGTGAAAATTTCCCTCTAAGGCTTTCAGTTCAATTTCTGCTGCTTCCTATCAGGAATTCTTCAATCATCCTCTCCCATCTTTTCCTTTGGCAAGATGAGAGAAGGACGGGCCTCTTGTCGCAAGGAATTCAAGGGATGGCTCCCATCTCTTCCTCCGAATTTGACAAATACATTCAAACATCAAAGACCTAAAGAGAAAGGAGGGGTCAGATGAAAGAGACTAAAGAAGATAACAGATCAGCTGCAGAATTCCACCCTTCCTTAGCCTGAACTGGCACAGCATTTGCCAGTACACTCCAATCATACAGGTAGTCCTCCATTTACGACCACAATTGAACCCAAAATTCCAGTTGCTGAGCGAAACAGTTGTTAAATGACCATTGTTCCATTTCCTTGCCACACTTCAACAGGTAAACCAGTATGCCGCCTTTCTTGTATATCTCATTCCTGGTCTACATGGCTCAATCTTCATGGAAGCCAAAAAAGTGACACTTACTGAGCTGGTGCTTCTGGTAAGTCGTGCGCGACCTTCTTGAGAAATAGGTTTGCATCCAACTTTTGACATCCAGCTTTCATGTCGTCGAGGCCTGTAATCTTTGCTTTCCACCAAGACTCCAGTATAATCAGCACTAAATCTTCTAATGATATATCCCCATTCAGTAAATTACAGTATGGTGGGCCTTTCTCACTATAGCTTGGCTGAGCTATAATTGCAGAGTGCAGTAAAAATAGGCACAAAGCAAGGAGCCAATAAACCACCTGAGAAAAAAAAGATTGTCAAGAGCTGATAATGGAACAGGTTTCAGGCACCAGGAGGGAGGATGGGAGGATGGAGGGGAGAAGCTGTCTTGCCATTTAACTTGGGGTGGGGTGGGATTTCAGCACAACTCGGGAGGTTCCTTAGACAGGCCTCCTTGCACGCCTGATGTAGTGGGAAACGGATTTTTATTCTATTATAACTGGGAGGTTTAAAGTGGAGGAGATGGTACTCATTCACCCGGATGCCAAGAAATGGAAAAGATAAGGGTTGAGGAGTCTGACAGCGATGGATGGATGGATGGATTAGGAGGGGAAGGGAAGAGAAAGGAGGGGAGGGGAAGGGCAGGGCATGGAGAGGAGAGGTGAGGTGAGGAAGGATAAAGGGGAAGGAAGGAAGGAAGGAAGGAAGGAAGGAAGGAAGGAAGGAAGGAAGGAAGGAAGGAAGGAAGGAAGGGAGAGGGGGAAGGGATGGATGGATGGATTAGGATTATACCGCTGATAAAGAAATATAAATTTGGTATAAAATGGTTTGTCGTGAATGCAACTGCTTGAGGGCTCCTGGATTGGAGCTGAAAGGCGAAAGGGATGCAGTATGCTCCCTCCCACATGCTGGGGTAGACCAGATACCTCGATAGAAAAACAATATCTCCCCTGGCTCAAGCTGATGAAGGGAGGAGAACTTGGGGCTCAGAGGTTAATACAACTGCCTAATATGCAGGCAGCCCAAGTTCGAATCCAAGTAAGGGTATGGCTAGCTGATGAGACCTAAATAGCTTGAAATAGATCTATACTAGTCTCCCTTTATTTCTTTATCAGCAAAATATAAATTTGGTATATATATATATATATATATATTCCTCTTCCCTGTATATATGGTACAAAGTGTAGTATGCAATACAACCCCATCCCTTTCTTAAAAAGCTTTCTCTGCATTCTCAAAGAGCTTATGCTTCCTAATTAGAATTTAAAAATTGAAAACTGCTTTGGAGACACATAAGAGCCATTTCAAAATCAGAACCTGGTTACTGGAATCATTTCTTAAAAGCAATCCAGCTTCTAAGACGTGATTAACACTGAGATTCCGAACGGAACACGTATCTTGCAATCCTACCCGTATTTTTGGGTACATTTATGAAATGCCTTTTTTAGCATCCAATAGGAAATTGGGGATTTAAAGTAAAGGGCTAATGAGCTTGGCACGCATCAGCATTTAGTCAACAGTACTTTCCTGCTTCGCTTTCCACATCATAAACATTTAAAATATTTCCTTAGTGCTTAGCGTAGGCAGCATTTTTAAATGATTTTTTCATTAAGGATGGGTTGTTGTTTTTTTTCAGGATGAAAGCAATAAAAACTTAGGAAAATAAGAAAACT